ATGTGAGGTTGAGTATTTTCTGCACTCACAAATGACTCCTCCTCACTCTGTAAGTTTACTATGGAGAGGTTCAGAGTTGGACTATATTTTTTATACAGCAATTTGTTTATCTAAAACATGGGTTGGGTTTGGTCGGCCTTTTTAGTCTAGAAAAGGGAGTTATTGCTGCTCCAGTTGTTGAATAAGGACAGGCGGAGAAGACCAGCCTTTTCAAGCAAGAGCTTTATTGTTTTATTATTTTTGTTTGTGATTCATGACATGAATGTCACATAACTAATGTCCTGCTAATTTGTAATGTTTTAATAAAACTTAAACTGAGGAAAACTATGTTTTCTCTTTTGGTTAATGATTAACCAACTATTGATTGTTGACTTGTTCAGCTATCACTTAACTGCCCTATGAGCTTAAAGTGAATGAGTTCAGTTGAACTTGGACTTTTTCAAGTTACATCTATCATTTTTTTTATTTTGCACTCAAAAGCAGGTTTTCCCCAGCAGCTTGTTCATTGCTTTTTGTGTTTATTACATCTGACAGTGTAAAAAGATAGTACAACAATATCTGACTGATGATTGAACTGGACAAACTACTTCACAGCCCCAAATCTCCAAAGTCCCTGTTGAGTTTTTTAGCTTAAAACAAAGAAATTATGCTGGGAGATTTGACTGATCTCTAATGATTGCTTACTGCCTGTCTGAAGGGTCTTCTTAAGCAACAAAAAAGACTCTACTTTCACTTTTAAGCAGAGTTTTACATAAGCCCCGTCACCCGGGTGGTTGGATATTAAAACATTTCCACCACCTACTTTCTTACAGTTTCAAGTCATGTCACCATCACTTTTTTTTAACCTTATAACTATAACCTTTAACTGGATGGAGGATTTAAGTCATCAGACATCAGAATCTTAAATTATGAAAGAATGAGGCTGGTGAAACGGCCTCTCTTGAAGCCCCCCTGATGTCCTGTGTTGACTGATTGTTAATGTGAAACTGCTTTATTATTTTAATTACCTTTTCCAGGTACTTTGGCTCTGGGTAAAAAACCTCCTGAACAATGAGCACTGAAGTAATCCAATCCTAAAAGCAAACTGAGCACCTGGAAACAAGTTTGATCTAATGCTAGCAGCAGCAGCTTGGCTAACATCCGGCAGCCCCTCCAGATGTCCTGTGTTTACCGAAGACGGCCAGAGAAACAGATTTTAAACGTGGAACTGCTGTATTCCGTGTTTTAACTGGTTTTTATCAGGTTTGTTTCTTTTAGAGAGGTTTAGACCTCTGTGGATAATTCGGCTCTCGGTAAAAACCTCCTGAACAATGAACACTGAAGGAATCTAAACCTAAAAATAAAACAAGTTGTTTAACAACTAACAACACCCTTCTTTTCTTATTGTTTTGACTGAGAGAACCCTAGTGACAGTGCCTTGAACTTTACTTTGTAAATTAAATGTAAATTTTACCATCTTAACCTCAAATAAAAAATAAAAAGAATCTAGCCTCAAAAATGTGTGATTAAAGACAACTTAATCTCATGTTGAGCAGTATCAGAAGCAGCACAAATGAAAAATAAAAGCTGTTCATTTGAGTACTGCTCCATGTGGTAGTCTAGGGAGCGTCGTAAAATTGAAATATTGTTCAACATTTATTAATAATTGTCATCATAATTTTCACATGTGTCATCTCAGTATTCAAAGCAAAACAATTTATTGTGGGGTTTATACCATCCATGCTATGGATGCTGCACTTTTTGATCTATTGTGGGAACTATATAGTGGATTTTTTTTACAATTTTACAACCTGGATATGTTATGGACAAGTTATTTACTTAAATTTCATTTAAGTGTCCAAGGGCAAAAGGTAACATAAAGAGTGATTCTGTCACAGCCCAGATGGCATCCATTTTTTTCAAGCAGCTGTCTGTAGAAGGAACCTGGCAATTTTTGTTGTTAAATTACATTAATATGTAGATGTGTAATCTATTTTTATTAAAACGTTAAAATATTTTAAAATTTAATTTTAAAAGTTCTGCTAACCAGCCAATTGTTAGTGGTTAAACAGATAACGGCAGCTGGTGACAGCAGTCTTTGTTGCAGTTACTCTGCAGCCTCAGCGAGCTCCACCTGAGCAGAACAAGAACCAGCGTCAGCAGTTGTGGTCAAAGACAGTGGAGTTACAGTTCGTCTACGGGACGAGAGACCTGCTCAAAGGCCCGGAGTACGGCCTTTGAGTTTGGCTTTGTGTCCATGCAATGATATGCACAACTTGTCATGTGAACTCAAGTTCAACTAAATCTGTGGATAGACTCATGATTCAGAGTGTGGATAATAATTCTACCTAAAAAGATTTTGATATAATATTTTGGCCAAATCACTCACCCCTATGTGTAGATGTGTTTTCATGATGGCCTAATTACATCCACTATGATTCAGTGTCGTAAATCAGTGTCATGTTGAGGTCAGCGGGTAGGCTACGCTTTCTATAGGCACTCTAACTGTATGTGCATAACGTCTGTTTTTGTTTCTTACAAAACCTTGCTGTGCAGAGCTCTGTTCAGAAGGTCTTGCTTTTTGACTGTTCATGCCGTCGAACTATTGTGCATAAGCTCTCATGATTGGATTTGCTTGCCCCTCCCTAGTTAAAATGCCTGGCTATATTACCCCAGAGACATTTTAGATATGAAAGGAGAACCAAATGCTTATTTGGTTCAGTAAGGGACCGTTCAATACACATCCACCAGTGCTTAACAATGTCAGAACACTAAATGTGTTAAATAAATAGATAATAAAAAGAATAGAAGGGAGAGATAGTGATGTGAGAGATGATAAGAGAGAGAGAGGGTCTCTTTTGCTGTTCATTTTGTGTGCATGTCCCTCCCCCTTGGACTTGTCCCCAAAATGGCCTCTGTTCTAGTGGAAGTGAAAAGACTTTGTTGAGCCTGCTGGTAATTTGAGCCGGTATTCATGGCCAGAGGAACGAACAAGGAAGGGCGGTGGGGGAGGAGGAGGTAAAGAAAGGCTTTCCTTCTTTGTATGGAATTTACCTCCCTAGTTCACCGTCTGGTTCTTTTGGAAGAGGCCCAAATAGTGACTCCCTTTGTGTGTTAGTTAGGAGCGAGGTGGCTATTTTTGTGAGGCAGCGATCATCCACAGAGAAAAGAAACAGTGGTTTTTGAAAAGACTCTGGATGGGGCACCAAGGGATCCACTCCATGTCATCATGTCTAAATATGTTACAAACCCTAAAAGCTGTAACCCAAATCTACCACCCAGTTTCTCTCTCTCTCTGTATATTTCTGTTCTGATTGAAGTGATTCAAGTTGTAGCTGAATGCTCTGCTTTTCTAACCAAAACCTAACTGACATTTCTTGTCGCTACCTACCAGTGTGTATCCAGCTGAATGGGGCTGACATTCTCTGTTTGACAATGAACACAGTTGAACTGACCTTGACATTATTGGAAGTCCCCAGCCTTGCTGTGGTTGCCTTGGTGCTGGAGAGGGAGGGCGGCAGTTGCTGTAACTAGGGGACCACTATAGAAATGTCATACATCCTGTTGCTGTTAATTCAAATGGCTCTCTCTTAGTAAACTAGCCTATGTATGAGTACTAGAGTTTTGTTGTGCTTTTATGAACTTGTATTGTGCTGAATCTAATCAGACTGGTGTTTATGAAGTAACATATATGCATGTGTTTGCCCAGTGAATGACCTTGCTATAAGCCAAATCCTCTCTTTAGTGTGTGAACAGAGCACAGGAGGGCCTGTTCCTGTAGCCTGGCTGCTGCCTCTAGCTCTGTGTCTGCCTGGGTGGCTGAGGGAAGACAGAGCAGAGGAGTGTGGGTCAGTGTTTCAGCAAAGTGTGGTCACATGACAAGAGGCTGGGATGTTGGATGACTCACCCCTCCAGGCGTCTGGGAGGAAAGTGCCTCCTGCTGGTTCTATTTATTAGTGCATCCTAATGGCAGGCTGAGTGTAAGCAGAGCTGTAAAGCCCCTGGTTGTTTTTTTGCTCTTTGAATACCCCCCCTCCATTCTGGAAGCCTCTGTGTGGATGAGAGACAGGCCTATTGCATGGTGTTCATATTGAGTTATCACTTTAGATGCAGGCACATGAGAGCTCTCTGCTGCTTCCCACAAAGCCATCGTTGTCAACATGAGTCAGCATATTTGGTTCTTCAGTTGGTGTGGAAGGACAGTTTCCCTGTGTAGTGTTGGGGTTGTTTGGTCTTAACAAAACCTCTGTCACTGTCATTGACCTCTGCTAAAGGAGCAGGGTTAGGGTTATGATAGCAGCTATAGCTATTATGAAGCAACTATATTCTATGTAGTTGCCTTTGCTGTCCCCTGGTATTGTGCATGCTGGTTTGTTTGAATGATTTACACAGTAGACTATAAAACATACTGGTAAATTTAAGTCTGTTAATTCCTGTATTTCATTATTATTTTTGAATTTATATTTAAGGCACTTTGCCTTATTCATCCCAAAGTCTGCCCCTGTGAAATACCGTTCGCTCTTTTCATATGAAATCAATTGTTTTATTTGGTTGATCATGCTCAATTTTTTAATTTTTGACTAATATTTCTTTGAAATCACTAATTTAATGAACTAGTCACTAAATTAAATGTTAAATGTGAATAAAGACATGTATTCCACAGAACATGAGCTATTGGTCCAAAATTTATCAGTTACTCAATTAAAGTGGTTAGTGAGGTGCAGGTTTTCCCATCATGCTTCATTCCACATGCTGAGTCATGTAGCAGGCTGTTTGTCTGTATCCAGGCTGTGTTCGTGTGCGGAACCGACTCTCATTCTGTCTGTTGCCCTTTATCCTCAGGTCCCCCATGACCGTGAGCCGTGGGCTACGGCTCGGTGGCGCCCCACCTCTGGAGTGGTCTGTTGCTGTAGTTGGGGCCCTGTGATTACTCTCCTCACCTCTCCTTTTTCCCCCCATCCCATCCTGTCCCTCCCCTCCCCCTCCTCCCCCCTCTTCCCCCCTCCCACGCGCCGCTGTGCTGGACGTCATGAGCATAGTAATCGCGCTGGGAGTCACCACACCTGAAACGTCTTACTCAGATATGGCTGCTGGATCAGAGTAAGTACTCACTACCAGCTAGTTGTTCTCTCATCTTATTTACAGCCTAGGTCTTTGTTTCTTGTTTTCATCAGTTCTTACAACATTTTACTCTCCACCTACTTACTGACATCTGCGGATGCATTAACATTGCTAAAATAGAGCTGGTGTCAAGATTGTAAACAAACTGCTGATCCAAATGAAACAAACAAACCTGACTGAAAAAGGAAACAGAGGTGAATATTGAAGTCAGACACAGAAATGCCCCATGGCACCGAACAACTACTGACCTATGGTTGACTGTGCATTGTGCATGCTCTCAGTTTTTAAATGCAATTCAGATTTATAATGAACATTTAAAAGTGCTGCACATGATTTGGTCAAACTAGGAGTATATGATGGCCCAGGAGTTCATCATTGCAACATAGTTCAGTTCAGTTGAATTCTGTAGTTATTCCCTTTTAGAAAATGTATTGTAGTACAACTCTTTGGCCCAAAGCAGCACAATATGTACATGCAACATTGCTGAGCTCTTTGTTCACATTTCTCTACAACTGTAGCACGTTGGGTTGTGATGAATATGCTTCCTGTCAGCAGTTTTCTGTATTCTCCACAAAGTCTGCCGGAGAGACCCGAAGAGATGGGAAGTGCAGTCCACCAAAGACTAAACTTTACCCGAGAGAAATAAAGAAAATACAGTATGTGATGCTTCAGTCAGGCTGGCTACACATGAACTCAAAACCCTCTTAAAGCAAAGCAATGTAACCCTGATTCCTGAGTAGGGATGGACGATAAACAGAAATACCACCACAAGCCTCCTGTCTTCCCCATCAGAGCCAGTTGGAAAATTCAGACGTTTTGAAGTGGCCCAGTGTTTTCCTCACTTTTATTGTACTTTTGTTGACCAGAAAATTTGCAAGGCTGTTGCAACTTGTTTTGAAACTCACTCACTGAAAGTCACTACCTGTTGTGTGCAGTGTGTAACTGGCCTGTGTAACTGTATATTGTGCCAAATTTAAATGACACTGCAAATTTTATTTTATAAAAGTTTCAGTAATCTCATGATTATTTGCACATTTTGTCCAGTGGGACAACCCACCCCCCAGGAGCCTAATTATTATCCCTGTCATTTTTTACATTGTGGTCACTGTGTCCTGTATCGTCCAAGCCCTCTCTCTTTGTGTAAGGCATCGTACCTCCACATCAGGGTCTAGCAGTTCTGAGTAGTGTCTGAGGAAATGTCTGCAGACAGCCTAAGTAAGAACACTTGCCACTTCTCTGTAGGTAGCTCTGCTTTGGAGACTGAAGTTATGTGGAATCCACTTGGCCTCTCTCCCATCCACCCCTGTTCACGGCCCCCTTTAGTTTCCTCCACACCTCAGCCAATAGGACTGATTCTAACACGAGGGAAAATACACAGCCTCTGCGGAGATAAACAAAATCCCAGGATTAAAATGTAATATTTTATCAGTTTGATACTTTTGACATTTAAGTTTGCTTCAGCTTTTGAGGACCAGGGGGGAAGGCAAGGTTATTCACTGTCTAGCCAGACCTCAGCTAAAGGGCAAAAGGAGTTGCATAACATAATGGCGGCCCACATTCCATTTCCTAAATTGCAGCTCTCCCAGGCTCGAGAGCAAACTTGAGCTTCTTGGTGCCATCTAGTGACTGATTGATGGTTTTTATTAAAACAGTTGGGAACAGATTTCCTGTAGTGGAAAAATAACTTCTCATGTGTACATAATTTTTTTGTTTTATCTTTATCCCTTAAAGTAATCTTTTTTTTTTTTTTCTTCTTCTTTTTTTTTTTTAATTTTCCAGCCCTGAGTCAGTTGAAGCAAGCCCTGCCGTGAATGAGAAAAACTACAACAACCACAGCTGTGGGAGCGCACAGAGTCATGGGTATCGAGGACTACCATATGCTGTGAGTTCATACTGCTCTTTTCTAATCATCAATTCTAATCATAGCATGTCTTATTGTACGAAAGAAGAATTACTCTCTATTAATCAAAGATAAGTTGCCTATGGTTGTGAACATGTTGAAAGCTAAAATAATAACTGTCTAATCTATCCAATCATTTCTTTTTCTAATCTTTTCAATTTGTTGTTCTATTAAAATAGAACAGCAAGATTAAAACTAAGGATTGGTTCTAGTTTGATTAAATCCATGAATGTCTATCCTACTATTGGTCTTCTGTAACCACAGACTACTTCTGTTATTAACAGCTGTACTGTTTCACATACCTGTTTTTTTGCCCCATTTTCATTCGTCTCCGTTTTCCGTTTCCCTTTTTGCCTGAACACCCGTTGTTTGAAGATGCAACAGTCTTCCGTTGTGTGTTGTCAGGATCACAACTATGGCGCACCCCCTCCCCCCACCCCACCCGCCTCCCCGCTCTCCCAAACCATCATCCCTCGCATGGATATCAACGGCGTGCTACTCGGCTCCCGATATCACGAAACTCCCGATGACAACTCAGCTGACAGCGACAGCTCCTCAGAGGAGGATGGGGCCATGGCCAGCTGGTGTCACTGCAGCCTGACGCCGGATGGCTTGCTCATCAAATGTGACAACTGCAGGTAAGAGATGGAAAAACAGAGCAGTCTGTATCCAGAAGCACTTTGTTATTCAACTCTCCCAACCTTCCCTGCTGTGGGATCAGCTGCATGTTATTCATAATAACCTGTATTTCCAAAAAGTTTGAACGTCCATGATAAAATATAATGCTACTGACACTGGTTACAGTGAAGACTGGCATTGTGTAGAAGGATCACAACTAGAGGATCATTTTAAAGACTACTGGTAATTTTGAGGTTTTTAACCAGGGCCAGTTAAGTGTTGGAAAACTTTCAAATCTAGTTGCAGAACTACAGTGACAAAACATTGCCCGTTTGTTTGAAATGCTGATTTGTTTTATTGTGGTGTTTCAGGGGACTTGACAGGAGGAAAGGAGCAGAGGGCCAACACAGGAAGACAGAAAATGTCTCAGGTATGTGTCTTTTCATTATTCTTGTTCCTTTAGGCTTAGAGAAGTTTGTAACCATGCCTCATAAAGCATATTACTGATAAATGTTCCCCATCATATCTGATTCATATCTGATTTATCTGTGTTTTCTTGGTAGCTGGAGAAAGCAGTGCCACAGAGAGTGGTGATGAAGAGGTGTCGCCCTCCACCATCTCCTACACTGCCACCCAGCATACACCCACCAGCATCAAACTCACTGTCAACCGGGTCAAAAGGAGCAAATCCAAAAAGAGGAAGAAGAGTACGGAGAAGGCCCGTGGAACCCCGAAAGGCAAGAAAGTCAAGGTATGTGAAATGTTAGAAACATACTGGTTCATTATGAGTCTGAGTCAGATTAAAGTCCTGTATGGAACTTTTTTATTTTCTTCTTTGTTACCAGCCCGCCACATTGAAAACTCTACAACTGTAGAATAGTAGCTGCTTAATCTGTCAGTGTATTGATATGGGTAAACTTCTTCCAGGCTTTCCGAGAGGGGTCTAGGAAGTCCATGAGGATGAAGGTAAGATTAGAGTTAACATCCCATTTATGTGAAGTTATGCATTACACAGTGCAGCCTCATGCTTCCCTTTCTCTCTAAAGAAAAATTCTCATAACCTGCTCCATCTTTTATTCTGCCTAGAATTCGACAACTGAGGCCAGCGTGCTGGATGAAAATACAGCAGAGGGGTGGGAGAGCAGGATCCGCCAGTGGACAGACCAGTATGAAGAGGCTCTGGCGAACCAGTACAGTGCTGATGTCCAGACACTGCTTCAGCTTCACCGTGCTGCCAGCACCACTGCCTCGAAGACCGAGAGCGGCGCCACAATGCCTCCCTCCACCACACAGATCCACACCTCAGTCGACGCCATGGACACCATCAACCGCACTGAGCTAGCCTGTAACAATACAGTGCTCGGCTCACAGATGCAGGTTAGCCGGAGTCCGAATCCAATTTTGCATGCATGTGAAACAGTACTATTGCGAAAGATGCAATTTGATTAACCAAATTAAACCCATAGTTACCCGAATAACACATTATATGAAAACATTTTACTGATCGATAGAAAATCAAAGAGCGCAAGTCAGCTTTTTTCCGAACTTGTGCATCAGAAAAATGACATAGCCTCTTTACATTTTAGTTACTGGTTCTGTAGGCACGGGTAGTCATGTCATGATGTTTTTAATATTAGCCTGCAGTTACAAATAAATAATTTGTGATTGGCTTTTTGTAGCTCCAGTTGGGGCGGGTAACGCGAGTGCAGAAACACAGGAAGATCCTCCGAGCAGCAAAGAATCTGGAACCAGAAACACTTATCATTGAATATCGGGGAAAGGTCATGCTCAAGCAACAGTTTGAAGTCAACGGACATTTCTTCAAAAAGTAAGAGGTCACAGTTTATTAGTGATGGGCTATAGTAAGTGTGGTATTTGTGTCCAAAGACGACTCATGCATTCTCAAGGTCTATTGTTCTCTCACCTTTATTTTTGAAATATAAAACAATTGTTTTTGATACCATTGTCTCCATATTTTTCCAGACCCTACCCTTTTGTGCTGTTTTACTCGAAATTTAACGATGTAGAGATGTGTGTTGATGCACGGACCTTTGGAAATGATGCGCGTTTCATCAGGAGGTCATGTACACCCAACGCTGAGGTCAGCCATGAAGCTTTATTTAAATTTGAGTACATGTCAGTGATGGAGAAAATGGTTTTGCTTAAGTGTAATGTTCTCTTTCTGTCTTTTTAACTAAGATAAATTTCCATCTGTTCCGACTGTTCCTGTCGACAGGTCCGACATATGATTGCGGAGGGTATGATCCATCTGTGTATCTACGCTGTCAGTCAAATAACGAAGGACGCTGAGGTCACCATTGGATTTGACTATGAGTTCAATAGCTGGTCAGTACTGATCCTAATTCCATACCTTTTACTTTCCACCTTCTTTGAACCAGCCACTAAAAAGCAACACAGGTCAAATCCTTCCACCCAATCAACAATGATATCAAGTACAAGTGGTAATAGAGCAAACCCTGTCTAGAAATGTACAGAAGATATGATGCAACACATGTTGGTGTCAGATATGAAGCAGGTATTTTGTGCTTTACCTGAAAACCTTTTCTCCAGTTTAATCTTCTCCTCTCTTGGTAACAAACCACCAGTAATTACAAAGTGGACTGTGCCTGCCATAAGGGCAATCAGAACTGCCCGGTGCAGAAGCACAACCTGAGCCCTAGGGAGAGCATCCTGAGTCCCCCCTCCCTGCTGCCTCCCTCTCCTCTGGTTGGTGCTGAGACTCGAAGGAGAAAAGCTCAGAGAAGGGAAATGGAGGGCTGCCTGGCCAGTGACAGCAACCAGATCCTCGACGAGCACCAGGATGCCAAAGAACTGCAGGGGACAAGTGACACAGAGGTGTGTGTCTAACTAAAATGAAGAGATCTGCACATTAATTGGGTAAAAGCTAAGGTTTAGCAAAGATATCAAACCAATGATTGCTTTAGATTAAACAAAGGGACAATAAAATGTTCTAAACACATGGCTCAGTTATTTAAAATACCAATAGTATCCAAATATTGCCTTTACTTAGTGCTGGGTAAAATGTTTTCCTCATGTGCTGCCTGTGCATGTACAATTAGGAGAGACTGCTGGATGAGGTGAAGGTGGAAGAGGCAGAGGAAGGAGAGGTGGATGAAAATGGGGTCACCGTCTCCAGTAAAAGAGTATGTCATCTTAATTATTTTCCAGTACAGCTGTTTTACAAATCTCACATACTTTTATTTATATCTATGTCCTGTATATTATTATTATACATCAGTCATTCATAAGACAAAATGTTTCAGGTAAGTGTGATACTGCCTATGTAACTCAACTCTCTGTGCCTATTCATGTAGACATTTAACAGCCTGGAAAGGAGGCGGAGGAGAGTGGGAGGAGCAGACATTAAGGAAGAGGGTGTGGAAACTGAGGACGGGGCAGGAAACCCCACAGGGAACACCCCCACGCCCCACAACACTGGAGTTGGGGTCAGCACAAGACGTACCACCTATGTCATGGTCAGTGAGAGAAATCAAGTTGTTTGATCTGTATCTGTTAAAGTGATAGTTTGGGTTATTTGACGTGTGGTTGTATTAGGTACTTATCCATAGTCAGTGTATCAGTGTTTGGAGAAGCAGGCAGGAGTACCGGCGCAGAGGCTGAGCAGTGTACTGCAGGAAAAACATTTTTCAACCATTTAAAAAATGCCCATCTAAAAACCAGCAAGATAAAGCGGTGGAAAATATTCAAAAATCAGAATACGCTTAAACTGATAGTGGTTTTTCAGGTGGGCATTTTCTAGGTGGCTAAAGTACAATTTTTTTTTCTGCTGTCCCCATCTACAGCAGTACACTGCTCAGCTTCTGTGCCAGTACTCCTGCCTACTTCTTCAAACTGGGAGCGCACTGACCCAGACCTACTGCAGGTAAAACACTGACTATGGATAAATACCTCATACAACCACACGTCAAATAACCCGAACTATCACTTTCTTCTTTCATTGTGTTTTTTGTTGTCATCTTTCTGGTGGCATGTGATTTATTTGTTCTACTTATATTCTGTTAAGGAAACACCATCTATTGAAGAAAAGACCTCGTTACCCTACTTGCCTACACCAGCTGCTCCCCCTAAACCTGCACGACCTACCAAGCCTCGGCCCAAAAGCCGGATCTCTCGCTACCGGTCAAGCTCATCGCAGCGTGCTCGGCGGCAGCGTCAAGCCCTCGCCCAGCAGGCGGCGGCAGCTGCTGCAGCTGCAGCTTTGGCAACAGTCCCATCATCAGCTGAGCAGGGGGCTGCTCTAGATGAGGATGGATCTCAGGGTCCTTATGGTGGCGAACATGGCCACGGAGAGAGCAGTCTAGGGAGTCATATCCTCGACGGAGAAGGCCAGGGTCTAAACTGCATAAATAGGGGCAACTTGCGCTACCCCAAAACCAAGAAGGTTAGAGGACATTGGACTTGAGAAAACATTCTACAATTAATTTCTAAATTCTATGGTCAAGTCAAGCTTTCCTAATCATATGTGTTATTTTGTGTGTTCTGTGCAATGCCACAGTACCTTGTGACAGAGTGGCTGAATGACAAAATCCCTGGAGGGGAGAAGGTCCACCAAGAGGTGCCTGTTGAGCGCCTGCTGCGGATAACCACTGACCCCACGGTGCTGGCCACCACCCTCAACATGCTGCCAGGCCTCTCCCACTCATCGCTCATTTGCACCACACCCAGACACTACGTCCGCTTCGGCTCCCCCTTCAACCCTGAGAGACGCAGACCCCGCCCACTCCAAATGGATGGCACTTATGGCTGCTACAAAAAGGTAAGAGAAAGATGAAGTATATGAATATAAAAGATATACAAATATGCTCATCCTTATTGAAGTTGCATTGAGTGTTCATGCTGTTACAAGCCTCTCTGCACAGTAAATACTGAAGTTGTCCATTTTGTTGCTTTACGTTCATGTAATAAATATACACATGTAAATTAGATGGTAATGTGCAGGAGAAATAAAAGAAAGAAAAAATGGTGGTGAGCGATTACTATCAGCAGTTTCCACTGTATGTCAGTTTGTGTTTTAAACCAGACATTACTGTTGTTTTGACACAGCGATGGATAAAGCAGGTGGAAGATGAGAGCTGTTCGGCCAGTATGGAGGATGGCACTGAGTCCACCTCCTCCCAGCAAAGTACCAGTAGCAGATCCACCCCCAACCCCCTGTCCAGTGGTACGTACACACCTCCCTCCATCGGGATGATTCATTTACTGGCAGCTGGAAGAAGATATGTAGATCTTATCTTGTACAGTGACAAGAAAAAGTCAGTGAAGCCTTTGAAACGACCTGGTTTTTCTGTGTTAATTCTTCATAAAATGTTACTTGACTTAAGCTTGTTCTTCATCTAGTCACACCCATTAAACATTCACAGTCCTGTTCAATAACTTTGGACCATTCCTCCTCCTCTTACAGCTAGAGACCCATTCTTAGGATGTCTGATGTGAGTGACTCTCTTCAGGTCATTCCACAGCATCTCTGTTGAGTTAAACAGTTAAAAATAATAGTAATACTATCAGGGCCATTCATCTTTAACTTTGTTTATTGTGTGTTTTGTCTCTTTTTGACGAAGAATAGTGTAGGAAAGTGTAGGAAGGCAGAGAGAGTCTGTGACCACAACTGTACAAAGAACAATTACACTTAATGTAGGGTGAAAAGGCAATAACATGAACTGATAAACAAAAGATCCACAAGGCCTAATATCTGCCATCATGATATTATCATATGCGTATTATAAACATGGCAGCAATATTTGATTTTTCAAATATCACTGTCATAATGAATACATGTTCACATTGGCAGGTGTTCCCTGTGAATAGATTCAAATGTTTGAGAGTTTTGTAAAAGTCCTGACTCCAAGTTGCTTTTGTTGATGTCATTAGCTGCACTGTGAACGTTTGAATGTTGTATTCAGTAAGAACAGTTGTTATCGTTATTAGTTGTGTTGTTCTTTTTTCTTTTCTTTTCTTTTTTTTTTACACATTTTATGTCTTTTAAAAATCACAGAAGTCAACGCGCCGTTTAAAAAGCGTCGCTCCAAGTATATGGCAGAGATGACACCAGCACCGTCAGACCACCTGCTTCGCCCATTGTCACCCATCACACCGCCACTCCCAGAGGACTCCCTCCACCCGCTGCTTCACACCCCCTGTGGCTCCCTGGTGCCCAATGGCCTGACCTACTCACCCATGCCCTCACTGCCGGCAAGCCGCTGCAACACACCGTTGCAATTTGAAGTAAGGTCACAACAACATACACCTACATCCACAAATACAGTGATGCCCATTACCATCTTTACCAGTCTCACAAGGCACACAAATCCCACATGAACACAATCCAGGACTTCTTTAGTTAACTGTTGTCGTTGGTTATAATTGAAGTCTCTGTCAGTCGTCTTAGCTTGTCAGAGGTTGTGGCTGAACATCCAACACTACTGCACCCCATACCCTAAACCGAACAGGATTTTTGGAATGTTTTTGGAATTTACTGTTCATTTACAGGCACTGCCCTTTTATGAACTCCTACTAGAAATTAATCAGATCGACTTCATATTTGGTCAGTTTCATCTTGAGACTTTTGCAATGCTCAAGTACTAAGCTTTGAGTTTTGGTTGAATGACCTGTCCGCAGCAGTGCAGCAAAAATTTAACTTGATATAATTCCAGCACATGTTGTTCTAACCGCCACAAACTTTAAATGTTTGATAAGAGTCCAGCCTGAAGACATCTTCATGTTAATATTCATTTATAAATATAGCGCCACATTATGGCGACAGTCAAGTTGTACAATTTGATTTACTATCTGCCCCAAACTTCACATGTTTGATGACAGTCCCACACTGACAACATCTGCATGGTAGCATGGCGTCACAGTCATAGCGCCACCCAATGAAAACAGGAAGTAACCCTTGAGTTGCAATCATCATTTGATTTACATGAAATTTTCATGGTCTGGTTTACACTTGATTAACAGGAACATAAAGTATGTTTTTGGTGTGTGTCCTCTAGCACCACATGGACACAAGTAGTAAAACAAAACATGCAATACATCATGTCCGCCGCCACACAGCCCGTGCAGGGCATTTTACCTGTAACCGTGGTGTCCGATGATGACGACGATGCACAGCTGCATTAACTGGCCTCCTGCCTCAACGCTGCTTACAGCTTTAATTCAATATCATATCTGGGGAATATTGTTAATTGCTGAGGATAAACTACTGTTTTTATGCAAATTACCCCTTTGGTGCTCGACACAATTTAATCTTTGTTTTCCAATTAAACCCGTTGACAAAAATAGTTAATCCTCAACACCAGCGCATCAATAGAATTTATTTTGCTGTTGATTTACCTGGGCAGGTTATCCAAATGTTATTAATGTGTGGGACACATCATGTTTGACACTGTGATGTTTCTAATAGCCTTTGCCTTTCTCTTTAGAACATATCATCCCCTGAGGCATCTCCTGTTCACCGGCCAGAGTCCATCTCACCTGAGGTACAGTCCCATCTCTCCCCCACTGACTCTTAACTGCTGTTAATTGCTGACTGCTCACTCCAGTTCGTCTTAATTAACCCCATCTTCTCCATTTGTCTTTCCATTTCTCTGTCCTTTACTTCTTCACTCACAGCCATGTCTTCAGACAGACTTTGAAGTCCCTCGGCCTCAGTTCCCAGACCTGTCACTCCCCTCCAGCTTGGAGAGCCCCGTGGCCATGACGTCAGATGACTTTTCCCTTCCTGGATGCCCCTCAGGCCCAGATTCCCAGGGTCCATCATCCGTGGGAACCAGTTCCCTAAACCCAGTGTCGTGTCCTTCCTCAGACCTAAACCCCCAAAACAGGGAGCAGGCCTTCAGGACAGAGTTCAACCTCATATACACCTGCTCGCCCCTCAATTCAAACTTGGGGAACCCCGTGGCCACTGACTGCCGCCAATCCCAGTCAGAAGGAGGCTTCTCCCCTGCAGAGTCCTTCCACAGTTCCATAAGTGGCCAGGGGCTGATGGGAGATGTGGGCCCTGGCTCCATGTCGCCCTACGGTGAGCCTCATTATGGGGGAGGCTACCCAGACAGTGGCACACCTCCTCACACCAGCAACCCACCACAAAAGAGGAAGGCAAGTTCTCTGCATCTTAATGACAAGAATGTGAAAACTGTTTTTTATTAGATAATTTTTCAGGTAAATCGTTAAGAGTTTCATCTTTTCTTCTCAAGCACGAATGACATGTGATATCTGCAAATTGAAAAGCCAAAAGTCATGATGTCTGCCCATTGACTTTGTCTAAAATATATCAATTTCTCCCTTGTGTCTGGGGGACAAATCCAATAGCAACTGGCATTTAAAAACATATATAACCATTTTATGTGTATATCTGAAATGATTTCGACTCTGTAGCTTTGACCCTCCCTCCCCCTTCCCTCTCCCTCCGTCCCCTTCCTCCCCCTCGCTGTTAGTTGACACTTTCTGCCAAGTCTCTCTTCCACTTTTCTTCCAAGGCAGAGGGCCAACCAGCATACCATTAGTCTGCTGACAGGGAAGCCAGATTACCAGGCTATATCTGTAAGAAGTGAATACAAGCCAGTACAAAATATGGTGAATATTCTCCCTACAACTACATCTTTAGAAGTGTGCATGTAAATATTGTTTCTTTGCATCTACATACAACACCCACCCCATGCTCCGTCAACAACTCCGCCCCCTCCCCTCCTCCAAACCTACATTGAATTCTGACTATAGTTTTGAGCAGGAGTTTTGGTTTATTCTGCCATTTCAGTCAAATTCATTGAAGTGTGTGAAGGTTCATCCATTGCCTTCAACATAAGAGGCTGATGGTTCATGAATTCTCATGGTGTTGTCAAGATGAAGTCCATGTGTCTTCGCTCCATCTCATCCATGGCTCTTTCCAAACTGTGATCAATGGTCTGTGCAGCTCTACTGTGAGCTTGGCTAAATTTACCAGTGTGGTTTACACCATGGGACAGTCCTGAAGCGCAGGGAGTCTTGGATTTATTTATTTTAGGTTTTAGTTTTCCCTCATAAGTCATCAGTCCTCACACAACGAATGTGTTAAGTTGAGGTGGTCACAGCATTTGCTACCAGTAAAGGACTGACTGGGATAAGGAATTGTACTTGAATGTCATTAAAATGATTTCTAATGATGGCCAAACAGATTTAAAACACATGAACATTTGAAAGTGTAGGACCAGTTCCTCAGATCCTGTTCTCCCGCAGGTATGGTTACCGATCCTCCTCACACCATGTTCACCATTAAGATTCCACATGCCAAGAACTTAATTACAAATAAAGAAATGCCTCCAGATGAATTTACACCAGCATTTTCCAACAAAAGTTACTCTGCATGTGACATTCAGAGGAAAATCAGATTTAGAGTAATACATTTTATGGATTGAATTGAGGATAAAATTCAGTATGAAGTAATTCAAGTCTGAAGATCAAGCAAAACTGGGTCAGCTGACCCATCTAGGCCACATTGAAACAAAAGTGAATACATGAAAAGGAAAACATGATGTTATTATAACTTGGCTTTTGTTTTTGTAGCTCCAGCCAATGGTTCTATCAGTTACAGTAACACTGTGCTGTGATCTGAGATCTTTAGTTGTGACTACATCACTGACAGTGGATCTTAACGGCCCTGGAAACACAAGCAGTCAGATGATCAGACATGATCAAGTTTCACATAAACCAAATGATTGAGCAGATGATCTAAACCAGGGTTTTTCAAAGTCTGAGACTGTGGGCTTCCCCTCAGACAAACCTTGGAAAAAGGCACCTCTTCATCCCACCTTGGTTTACTTTGTTTCACTTACTTCCTGGATGCCTATTGGGATCATGATTATGTTATTTGATCCCAAAGGCACTCAACAATTGAGCCAAGATACTCTAATACTGCTGTTTGACTTAACTTGAGACTAAACCAGATACATAAAAAAGGTGTGTCCTAAAGCTTTTGTTAGTTCTTGACTCTGGGAAAGTGGGAAAAACTGTAAAATCCCCGAAACTGTTGTATCTTTGAATTATCTCTTTAACCAAATCACTCACTTAGTATCATTTACATGATCTCCTTTTAATAACTAATGTAATAACTAACCTTCCATTCACTGAGCCTCCCTTGAAACTGTTTGAAAACCTCTGATCTAAAGCACTTTGGAAGTAAAACTATAAGTACGCACACTTGCAATGTTTCTGATAAGCCCTTGTTGCACAGCGAATCTGACAGTACACAGCTACAAGTCAGTGGAGACAAACAGTGATGGATGTTTTCAACAACTAGTTTCAGCAATAGTTTTACCATTTATCTTTGTTTTCTCTTCAAGAAAACTAAAAATAAAGCTCAAGTTGTAAATAAATAAACTGTAGTTTTCCTTTAAGCACAGCTGACTTCCAGTCCTTCTTATTACACTGTCTTCAAGTCTCTGTATGTAATCTGGAGCTTTGCAAAGATTCAGGCAAGAGCCATTCATGTCGGTATCTGACTCTGTGCTCATCATCTCGCCCCCCTGCCTCCTTCATGTACACTCCTCTATTACCACAAGCCATGACAACATTAACCTGGGATGAGTGCTCTCATTCTCATTGTTGAAGAGTCGAGGTGTGTTTCTATGTTGTGCGTGTGCTCGAACTTTCTGTGGACGTGGATATGAGTGTTTTTATTGTTTCAGCGTGGTTGCATCATGGCGTGATGCATTTAAAGTTGCCTGCTCTTGCGTCAAAGCATTAGATGCTGTATGTTACTAACAATGCATTCAGAACACACAAAGTTGATCTGCAGTTTGCTGTATTTGAGCCTCTCTCATGGCTTGAAGTATGTTAATGGAATGGAACAAAAACAAAATGCATACAGTATCATTTCCATGTTAACGGTTAATGTCCATGGTGATGAAGGTGTGTTTCTTTATGTCATATTGAATCATGGTAAATACTGTTAACAGGTGAGTCCTCTCTGGTGTGGTGCATGCAGTCTGCCCATCACTCAGTGCAGTTTTTGTGAATGATGTGATCGAGTCAGCAACGCAGCATCAGTGTGAATGACATGAAGTTTTGTTGAATCTGTCCCTCAACAACAGTTGTTTAACAGAACCTCTCCTCCCTCTGCTGCCTCAGGTGTCTTTGCTGGAGTACCGTAAAAGGAAGCAGAGCAGCGGTCGTGACTCTGAACCCGCCGGCAGCAGCTCCTCTCTGGGCGGCACCCCCACCCGGCCTGGCTCCCACTACAGCCAGGACCCTCATCATCCCCATTCCCATCAGCAGATGCAGCCCCCGGCCTCCCCACACAGCTCCTTCCCTCCCTCAGCCCACACCAACCCTATCTCACAAATAGAGGAGATCAGTCCTCCAGACCACCAGGGCCTGCTTGTGCAGTCCAGACCCCAGGAGAACAACAACCAATGGTGAGGGGCAGAGAGAGACGACTCACTACATGTTACATCACCCTGAAGCTCTCAAGTCATGTTTTATAAGCTGCCTCATGGTGTTCAGGTTTTGTTCCTGGTCAGAGCTGACTGGTTGATAACCTCTGAATTTGTATTTTTTCAAAGGATGGTTCCCACTACTGTTGAACGTCTAAGGGAAGGCCAGGGTGGTCTGGAGCGAGTGCTGAGAAGCATCAAGATGGAGCGCATTTACAAGAGGAGCGATGGCTCTACAGAGAAGGAATTTGGTATGAAGACACTGCAAATGTCAGGAACCCCTGCAGAGAAATTGTGTTGACAAAACCATAAGAATACCTGTTGATATAAATAAACACAATAATGATATGTTGAGTTCTTAAACTTCCCATATGATGTAGTTTTCTCAGTGCTGGAGTTGATCCACCTTTTCTGTGTTTTCAGATGCAGATCGATATGAGATGCAGGCAGCGACCATGGCTTCTCCCATGAAGAGTCCACACAGATACAGCCCCTCTGTGTACTCACATCAGGTACCTGTACAAACCACCCACCAGTGACAAGCTGCCTGATGAACATATGATCTTTCTAGTGTCTATTTCTGCTTGTGCTGCTTTCTGCTTACTTGATTAAATGTTATTGTTAATGAGGCGAGTGTTCGTTTGTATGATCATATCTTGAATGCCTGGTCAATGGTGCATTTAAGGCTACGTCCACGTTCTGCAATTTTGTTTTAAAATGCAACTCTTTTCCTACATTTGCTCCTGACTTCCACACTACTCCAGAGTTTTCAAGCCCTGAAAATTGAGTCTTTTGGAAACTGAACTCGTTTTAGTGTGAAAACTCTGGGGTTGTGTTGAATCTGGACTGACAATAACAGAGACGTTTGGAAACAATGACGTCGACACCCACGGTTGCTCCCTGATGGGTCTTATCAGCCTCTACTACCAGTGGTGAAAACAACAAGGATAATGAATTAGTGTTGCTGTCCTTGTTGTTTTTGCTAGCCGCGTTCGTAGTGTTTTTTGCAAATAACCAACTGCAGAGTAGACAGTCTGCTTCCTGTTTACACCGGCTCGCACATGCCCAGTGTACGTGAATGGTCATGTATGTGTTAATTTTCAGGTGTGTTAGTCTGGACTAGGGCTGTCCCAAACGATTATTCTTTAAACGATTAATCTAGCGATTATTTTTTCTATTAACCTAACAGTAATTTGCGAGTACTGTGCGAGCCTTTTTTGCTGCGTGTTGCTCCACGCGCTCCGTCGTACTGCTGGTAGACGCCGCCATGTTGTTCAAATAGATTACACAGACGCAAATCATTCACGTAGTCAATGACTTCAATTACGTCACCACGTTGTCCCAGCCCTTGCGCTGCGCTTGTATCCGGGTAAACCAAAGACGATGGATATAAACGGTCCCATTAGAAAGTTCCGGTTTTGTTCTATGAACATTTACCCTGTGTGGTTTTACACGACACTAAAATTCCACGTCGAATAATTTTTATAATCGACAACGTCGATTACGTCAGATAATCGTCCCAGCCCTAGTCTGGACGGAGATCATTTTAGTTTGAAAACACTCTTTTAAAATGAAAACATTGTAGTGTGGACGTAGCCTAAATCTTCACTGGCCATAAATAAAGTAATTAGCGTTCATTCAAATGCTAATACTGATCCTGCATTTTTCTGAAAGTCCTGTATCTCCACCTTGCTGGTAGATGTACAGATGTCCATCATTGAGGCTTAATGGACTATAACTTGGCACTATTTTAAATCTTCACATTGTTTAGCTCCACACTCACAAACACAAGAGAGATATTCATTCAGTTTGTAAATGAAAGTCATGATGCCATCTTGGTTTATCCAATGGCACCAACACCTGCATTTTGTAACCATGGGAACCTTCCTTTCCACATGACATGAAAGCAGCCTTAAAGATGTGTCATTGTCACAGAGTAGTGAGTGTGTGTCTGTGTGTGTTCAGTCATCAGAAAGCCACCGGCAAACTGACAGCCCGTCGTTCCGCCAGCAAACCTCCAACTCTCCATTCCGGGGTTCCTACAGTCCCTCATCAGGCCAGAGCTTCTACGCACGCCACTCCTCGCACCCTGGACTGTCCCAGGACCACCCCCCATCTTCCTACCCCAGTCACTCCCCCACCCCAACCTCATCCTCAGACTCCAGGCCGCCAGCGGGGTCTCTACACCAGCAGAGTGGGTACGGCAGCAGCCATTTAAAAGCAAGCCTTTTGAACAGCAGCGGCCTGGCGCGGGCTCCTACCCCTGGATCCAGGGCCCAAGGGCAGACTAAAACAGACTCGGGCCCCCTGGCCTCCAGAGGGAGTCAGCAGCAGGTGTCTCGCAGCCTGAAGTCAGGCAGCCCAGGCCAGGCGACGCTGCAGGCCAGCTCCAGGCTGCTGTCGGCCTCTGGACCGACACACTACCCACAGCGAGGGACAAGCCTCAGCCAGTTCCAGCACTCCCCCCTTCAGGGACCTGGAGTAAGGACACAGTCAGGAAGCTTTTAGGACCTTGTTCAAGTGTGTGTGTGTGTGTGTGTGTGTGTGTGTGTGTGTGTGTGTGTGTGTGTGTGTGAGTGAGTGGGTGCGTGCATGTGTGCGTGTGTGTACGAAGCTGCGTACCCCCTCAACCCCTAAAGCTGTGGTGAAATGGGGCTCAGGGAGTTTGGGGAGGGTAAATGTACAGATCTAAGAGGAGCAAGGACTTCTTTACGGATTTCTCCTTTTCTTATTTTCTGTCTTTTCTTTTTTTATTTTCAGAAAAAAAACAAATGACCACATACTGCACAAAGCTAATCATTGACTTTGAACATTATGGAATCAGTGGAAAAAGCGATTTGGATGACACATTCACAGGAAAAAAAGAAAAAAAACACAAAAAAACAAGAAATCACATGTAACTTGAAATTGTCCCCAGTGTTTCCTGATGTGCTGGACTGTGCAAACAGGCTCAGAAAGTAAAACTTCCACACAAATGTCTGTACAAAGTTATAAAAAGCTGTACCTGTCGTTTTGGTACCCAGGTTGGATAAATGCTGAGATGCATATATATGAGTCTGTGCTGCAGTAAATAAGTGTTTGATTTGGAAATGGGGAAATGATTCAAGCCAAGGCAACACATTAATCATCCGTTAGAGATGCATTAGAGAGATGGGGAGGACGGGCTTTTCCCTTTTTAAGGGTCATTCCATATGATTACCAGTTTCCATGTTCTCTCACTAAACATGAAAACAGCCCTTTTTTCCTCAAGGTTCTGTCTGTTCCAATGTTCTGTTATTTTTGGTTCTGTTCTGTTCTCTCATCCCCACTGGACTGTTTTGATTTCACTTTAGGGCTACTTCACTGTAGACTTCTGATATTGTACTTGAGACATACAGGTCTTATGATCCATGGTGCTGCATTCTTGTTTTTTCCAATAAATTTGAAATCCAGTTATGTTCCCCACATATGGCTGCATTCATCTTGTCATTATATCAGTTCAAATGTTTTATTTTTCTCCCAGGTTCATAATGATCATATATTATAGTGATCATATATTATATCATTTTATTTCTTGGCCAATCCGTTGCATTCCATGTGACACTGAGGAAAACTGGGCAGAGGAATCTCTAGGCGAGTGTTTGGATTGTTCATAAAACCTTGGTAAAGAAGCTGCTATGTTCTCCCGTGAGAGCTGCTTTCCCTTTCCTTGTAACTGTAACTCTGATCCTCACAAACTGACTTAAAGAAAGAGATGGTTCTCCCGGCCCCTGCAGTGGGACCTCAGACAAACATTGCGCTGACAGCTGGGCGGCAGCAGGAGTTGCCCTCTCTTCCGAGACTGTTCTTTTGGACCAGATGTGGAAAACTGCTGCGTTTGTATGGAAGACTTCAAAAAACCGAAGGCCCAGTCATGTGACTGGACCCCACATGCCACTAAACCAACCCCCCACCCACCCACACCCCTCTCAAGTTCACCAACACACAGAAGGGTACTCATGTTACATGAATGTTTTACAGATTTAAAAAAAAAAAAAAAAAGTTGTGACCCAAAATTAACCAGCACCTTAAAATGAAAGAGTTACACCCTAAGACACAATAGGACAATATGTATGATTGTGTTTACTTGTACAGAAAGAAATGTGATATAGACTTGTATGGAGAAAATGTAGTACACTGAATTTATCGCATGATATTTGTTTTTATGGTCTGAGTGACCAACTCTGTCAGATGGTTGGAAGCTAATCATTGGGTCTTTTCCTGGGTTCCTCCAAAAAAGAGACACTGCATTCTCTTTTTTTATTTTGTAAAGATCATTCTGTTGGTTTTATTTTTACACAGATCATAGTAGTAACTATTTCAATTGTTCCCCTCCAAAAGATTTAAGAAGCAAACAATGTAATGCCTTTTGATAATAAAATAATCATGATGGTAATGTATTTTGCAAACTACCATTGTGATGTGTCATTTGAGGCAGTCACTTGTATGTTTTGAACACATTACTGCAGGTCAGCCGCTAAGATAACAGTATCTCATCCAAAAACCACTAATTCATTTGTGTTAGGAAAACACTTCAGTGGGACTTCATTGTCATAGATAACTACAGAAGCTGAGAAAGGCCATATTCAAAAATATTTTTTATCCCCTTATCTCAAGATAACAAAGCTCGTTATACCAAGATAACGAGATATTATGAGGAGAAAATGATTTTTTGTTATCCTGAGATAACAAGATAATTACCCTGTTATCTGGAGATGACAAAGCTTGTTTTCTCATTACAATGACTTTGTTAATCAGAGATCAGTATGCAGCCAGTAAGCAGATGGAAACTTCTAGAGCTGTAAAGTGAAAATGTCAGGACGACACGTTGATCAACATCAGAGAATATTTCAATCAAGGGCAGAAATCACACTGCATCTTTTCATAGAAGATCATTTTCAGATCAGTCCTCATCACTAATTACTGTTGCTGAGGAGGAGTGTTACTGCAACTTAGTGTATGAAGTTCAGTCAAAATTATTTTCTAGTGATAATATCTTGTTATTTTCGAGATAACAAGCTTTGTTATCTCGAGATAATGAGCTTTGTTATCTTGAGAGAACAGGATAAAAAAAAATATTTGCGAGTATGGCCTTTCTCAGCTTCCACAGAATCTGAACTTATTTAAGCGGATTGATTTTAGGGGGACAGCAAACAGCACTTGAGAACGTATAAATGTCTTGTGCTCTTTTATGACGTAGCTCTGAATAATTACCTCTGTGTTGGTTTGTTAGTTACCAGGATATAATTAAAAGCTTGTTAACATATTTGTCACAGAGCATGAAAGTAGAGGTGAAATGAAATGTTTCGCTCAGGACCAGGATGTAAAAACTGACCAAACATCTAAAGTGAATGGCTGCGTAAAAACCCTGAGCACACCAGAGAATAGAAGGGCAATAATTGATTAATTATTGGTCTGGTCCACATCCAAGATTTAAATAGAATTTTTCTATTATTATTATTTTTACTATGAACATTTTGCTGCATTTAGTTTAATGAAAACAATCTGGTATGTGTATCCCATGACTCCATATCGCTATTTTAAATGCTTTCTAAGACTTTCTAATTTTTCTTTGTATGAAATGATAAAGTCAGATGATATTAGTGAGAGTACAGTACAGTCACAAAGGCACAGTGGGTCTGTTGATATGCTGTTTATCAGCAATAACAAGAATCAAGACAATCACTTTTTCCACAAACCCTGCATCGTGTTCAGGATCATGCCCGACTTCTATTCCTGCTTTTTTTCTGTTTCTGGACACTCACTTGAATCAGATCTGCTCTTGGTTCAGTATCAGTACTGTCTTTATCAACTAAAGGGAAGCGTTGAGCTACAGGCGAATAATGTGACGGGAAGCTTCCTCAGTGTGGAAGCTTTTTGCTTATATTCCCACGCTGCTTTTAAGGTACAGATATTCACACATCATACAAAGCGGCATCACAGTGACCCAAGAAATGTGAAGGTGTGGGTGTGGTGGCTGTTTTCCTAGATAACTATATTTTTACATTTACATACTCATTTGTCTGGCCTCGGAATCAGTGTCAGTGTCCTAAGAAGCATTTCCAAATCATCCATCACCCAATCAATCATCAGTACTGACTGATAAACACTAAGCCAGTGTGTGAGGTGTGGTTGGTAGTAAACCCTTACAGACAGGATGGGAGCCAGCAGGATTGAGGTGTAGGGTGGAGTAAAGAACAGCATCAGACAGGGTTTTTTTGTTCCAGAGCGCAGAGTTTTCTTTTTTTTTACATGTGCAAACAGGTTACAAAAAATATGGTACAAATCCTACAATCAGGTGGCCGGCTGGTGGACAGCAGAAGCCGCTTTTCCCAGGGCTACAGACTCCAACCACAGAGAAGACACAACCTGACCCCCTCTCTGACGCACAATGATTCTTCTTCTTCGTTTTTATGGCAAATTCCAACCATATGGAGCATTATCGCCACCTACTGTTGAATTACAGAGTCCTCATATTCCTGTTATCAAGCCATATTTGTGAGTACTGCTTTTAAGATCCATGCATTTGATCCCTTCTTGTTCCAACTGAGTCCTTAATAGGTTCCTCTCATTTTCATCTTTTGGACAGACAAAAAACAAAACGCAGTCTCTTTTCTTTTCCACTTCCAACCTCCTGCTGGATCTGGTGCACATGTCTTCCTTTTAGCTCTTCATCCCATCATTTTTGCCACTGCGCCTTGATTTTGTGCCAAATAAATGGTTCTGTTTCTGTTTTAGACACACAGTGCTGCTCTCGCACTGGGATGCCTGGAGTCTCTACCAGCTCACTTCTACACTGGAGGGTACATGACCACTCCCACTACCTTTAACAAATGTACTTACAATGTAGTATTACCAGTATTAACATATCTACAGCCTAATACAGGATAAATGAAATACATAACAAAGTCAAGAAATACTAATTAAAGCCTCGACTTAACCAACCCACCCCCACCCCCCCCCCCCCACCCCCCCCCCACCCCTGAGCTGCAGTCTCATGTGTGCACTCTATAAAACATGCCCTCGGAAGTAGAGAGAGAGAGTGGTTAATCAGGTTCAAAAAGCACAACATAACAAAAACTAGAATCACCTCCTCGTGGGTGTCTGCCTCCTCCACTCAGACTAATTTCAGGTTAGAAAATATTAAACATTTGTGTGAAATTTTGTCATAATTTCTATGTGAAGTCTTGAGTAATGGCTAAAAAGTGTTTTGTGAGGTCACATTGACCTTGACCTTTGACCTTTGTCCACCAAAATCTAATCACTTTGTCCTTGAGTCCAAGTGAATATTTGTGCAAAATTTTGAAGAAATTCCCTCAGGGAGATACAGAGATATCATGTTCACAAGGCCAAAACTGTGTTTTGTGAGGTCACCACACCCTTGACCTTTGACCACTGACCCTCAAAATCTAATCGGTTTGTCCTTGAGTCCTAGTGAATATTTGTATCACATCAAGACGTCACTGAGATATTGCCTCCACGAGAATGGGACGGACGTACACAAAGACAGAAGGACAACCCGAAAACATATCTCCAGCTCTGACTGTTGACGGTGCGGAGGAATAATGAACTTCCTGCATCAGCTTGTCCAACGTTACACAGTCAGTGTGTGTGTTTTTTCACTTTGGTGAGGGGGGATGCCTCCCAGCTCCCTCACACAGTGTCTCTATCAGAGAGACAACAGCTGAGTGATTTTAAGTAATAAATGTGAGAGAATATCTCTTTTTTTTTCTTGTAATTGAACTAGGACCTTTTGGGAGGCTTTTTAGTATTGGATGACATGCAATAATCAAACTATTCTGGTTCTATCATACATATCATGGTCTTGTTTTTTTTCTCCATAGTATATTTATTTTATTATTGAGTTTTGTTATTTTTCTAACAAATAAAAGAGCTAAGCAAAACATTGGTCTCTAACAGTTACAAATATATGGTGAAGAAAAACACATAAATGAATATTAATGAAAACATGAAAACTACACTTTTGCCCCTCCCTTTCCTTAAATTAGAATAAAAGCCACGAAATAATTTGAAAAATAAAAATAAAATAAATAAAACATAAAATTAAAAAAAAAATTTAAATAAACAAAGCGGCATGTTCTTATTGTGCATTTTTAATTATATTATGAAGTTTGTCAATAAAAAAAGTAACGGAAAAAAAAACAAGTTATGACAGTGACGTTGACGTACAACCCATCGGCCAATGCGGCCAAAGGAGGCGGTCCATGTGGTGGGCGTGGTTTGTGGTGCTACAGGCCGCAACCGGAGCCTCTCTGTAGCAGACAGTTCAAAATATCAACGTCATTTAAAGGGGAGATGGCTGTCACGTGGTCTTGTTAGCTTCCTGTTTACCGCCTGTTGTACTCTCAGACTGTGGTACACAGATTGCAACACAACTCTCCACTGCTGGGGCTCTCATACACCACCACAACAACAACAGCATTCAGATCCTGCAGCTACAGGATTGGCTTCTGTATAAATTCAATCCGTTTACTGTCATAGACGTGGTTACCAAGGAGATATGAAGACGTGACATTGAGGAAACGTGAGCAGGCCGGGAAGGATCCTGGAGATTTCCTGACTACAGCTGACTGGACTTCGGTTAGCTGGTGTGGAGAACCGGCCATCCCTTCACCTTATGTCAGAAACGAAAACAAAACAGTGGTGATGTGGTGGAGGACTAAAAAAGTCTGAGATTGTGTCAAACGAATTTTCGAGGGTTTTGGGTGAGTGGAAACGATCAACCTATGCCTGGGAAGCTGAAGTAGTCTCTTAGCTATTTGTGCTAACTCCAGTAGCAGCAGCAGCCGCTGTGGTGTGAGTAGCTGGCTGTGCGGGCTGGCTAACGGCTTCTGTTTGGAGATTGGAGCAGCTCGCCGGTGCCCTGAATTCAGGAAGACTCCCCGGCTCCGGCCCCCTCAAGCGGGCAGTCAGGAAGAAGCTGGCTGGGAGGGGATGGCCTGGTCGGTCTTCCCGATCCAAAGGACAAGGCTCTGCGGTGT